AAAAAATTGTGAAAATTTTTCAGCATCAAGTGTTGCTGATGATATTAATAATTTAAGTTTAGGTCGAAAACGTGCTATATCTTTAACTAAACCAAATAATATATCTGTATGTAATGTACGTTCATGCGCTTCATCAACGATTAAAACACTATATGATGCAAGATCGGGTTCACTAAGAAATTCTCTTAATAACATTCCATCAGTCATATATTTTATTATTGTACGTTCTGACGAACAATCTTCAAAACGTATTGCATAACCAACTTCACGACCTAATTTTACATTCATTTCTTCGGCAACACGTGCAGCAACAGACATAGCTGCAACACGACGTGGTTGAGTACAACCAATCATCATCATCTTCTTTTCTTTTTTCTTTTTTCCATTAGGTAATTTTATATTATCATCATCATCATAATCTTCTTCTTCTTCTTCTTCTTCTTCTTCTACATTTTCAGTATCAGGTTCACAATATCCTTCTTCATATAGATATTGAGTTAATTGAGCTAAACAAAATAAAATAAATATTTGTATTTTAAAAAAATTCTTTGTAGATAAACTGACGATTCTTTTGACTAACGTTGAAAGTAAAAATGTCCAAAACAAAAAGTAACGAACTATGGAAATGCCTAAAAGAGGTGTTATACTGTTCGAAACGACGGAAATTAAACAGATCAACTTTAATCCCAGTCCTAATCACCAGGATTCGAAAAACTATAATTACCAGGACTGGTATTCGGAAAACCTGAGTTATGTTCAGATTTCCAAAAAAAACAAGAAATTACCGAAATTGTCATCAGTTCAATAATCACATACCAACGCAAATAAAACATTTCATAAAAATATTGAAAGTTTCAGGAATTTCTGTTTTTTGGAAATCTGAACACTGCTAGATCGTTCATCAAATTTTGGCAATATGAAGGAAAAAAAAGATACAATGCAGTAGCCGACTGATACAACACATATTACTACTCTGTATTATCAATACGATAATATACTGGCAGACAAAAATTTAGAGCGTCTTTTATTTTATGAATTATTTTGCTCAAAATGATTTGTTGAAGACATTCAAATAGTGATTTGAATAGGCAATGAAGAGCTCTACCGAACAGATTATAGAACAAGATTTCATCGATAGATTATGATTGTAGGTTTATAAAAAACTGAAAACAGTATTGTTTCCGGTCCTTGAAGACTTTGTGAAAATTGTTGTTTTCAATAATGCCATCTTAAAGAACGTAAAATTCTGAACTAAATGAGGAGTCGCTGTGTTTTTTACGACCTTTCCTCAAGAAGTCACAGGTATCACAAAAAACGAAAAAAATGCATTTTTTTAGGCAAATTTTCAACGATTTTTCGATAAAAATTCACTTTTTTTCGTGTTTTGTGATGTCTGTAACTTCCTGAGGGAAGGCCGTAAAAACTCAGCGACTCCTCATTTAGTTCAGAATTTTACGCTCTTCAAGATAGCATTATGAAAAAAACAATTCCCACAAAGCCTTTAAGGACCTGAAAAGTACTGTTTTCAGTTTTTTAGAAACCTACAACCATAATCTATCGATGAAATCTTGTTATATAATCTGTTCGATAGAGCTCTTCATTGCCTATTCAAATCACTATTTGAATGTCTTCAACAAATCATTTTGAGAAAAATAATTCATAAAATAAAAGATGCTCTAAACTTTTGTCCGCCGCTATAATTTTATCAATATATCAGATCTTCTTACTGATTCATGTTATGTAATTGATTTATCTATATTATTTCACTATTCTACGTTTTTTTTCCGCCATAACAAATTGTCCCTCTAAAATATGAATGTTATACTCCAAATATCGAAATAAAAAGTGTATGTTGATAACCTTAGAACAATATTTTTTTTCCTTTATTTTACACATACATGGTCTTTTGACATTTTTTAGCTTGTGACGAAATTCAGTTATGAAAGAACAATAATTTCACAAGGCAAATCAAATAATTATTTAAAATCTTACTTGTTTTTCCTGATCCTGTTTCTCCTTCAATAATTAAAACTTGATGATCACGTATTGCATTCATAAGATCTTCTCGAAATCTATAAATTGGTAATGTTTTACGTGATTCTTGTAATGAACGATGTTTACGTTTATTTTCATCTTCATGTTCATTTATTTTAGATTTTTCTTTATATTGTAATAATTCATTAACACCAGGTATTGTTAATTGTTGTACAAATTGTATTTCTTCGTCAAGTATATAATCATATTTTGGTTGATTACTTTTAGCTTCTTTATCTAATGAACCAAAATGTGGTAATGCTGTATGTATAACTTCATCTTCCCATTTTCTTTGTTCAAAATTTTGTCCTGCTTGTCCATTTGCTTTTGCATCTGAATAACGATTATCTTCACGATAACGATCATTTTTTGATGTTTCATCACTTTTACCATCTGGCATATGATAACGATCAATATTTTCCATTTGTTGAGCTTTTTCATGCTCATGTGCTAAATCTAATGCATATCGTTTAAATTTAATATTTTCTTCTTCACGTTTTGTTAATTTAACATCTTTAAATAAATATTCTTCATCGATAAGTTCTTCTTCAAGTTCATGAATTTTTTTATCTTTTCGTGCTGCTAAATAAACACGACGAGATTTTTTACGTAATTCTTCAACTGATAATTTTGAACGATGAGGATCTCGTGAAACAGGTTCAGATTTAAATTTCTTCTTTGTTTGTTCATCATCACGTTTACGAAGACGTTTTGTAAACTCATTACGTTCACGTATGTCTGATTCAAGACGAGCATTAGCTTCTTCATCATCACTTGATGAAGATTGATTCGTTTGATTATCAAATGAAGGAGACGGTGGTGATGCGGCCATTTTGTAATCTAAAATAAGTAAATGAAATTATTTAGTAAGTCCGGAAAAGACTCTGTCCATGGTCGCTGTCGTTAACCAATTGTTGAAGAGCAATGCAATAGATGGCGCCTATTAGCATGACGAATAGTAGATTATTTAGAATTTTGAAATTACACTTTCGAAAATATATGTCTGAATTTCATGAGATCAATTGACAATATAACCCAGTAAGGTACTGTAGACTTACGAAATTTCATAGACATTTGATTTGAAAATAATTTTCATGAAAAGAAATAAAATTCATCGAAGTGATTAGTAAATTCTAATCACTTTTTGTAGTAATTAAATGGAAAACAATGCATAGAAATATTCAAATAATGTGATCGAACGGTAGCTATATTTCAATGACAAACAAGATCATAATAGTTCATTTGTAGTGAACTCTATTTGATAAACTCTTTTATTTAATACATTCGTGTGAATGTCATTCACATCTGGGTAGCAGAAATCCCAAGACAGAGCTGGAACCGGTCCGACTATCTGATTCCGGTTCCGCCGAACCGGACCGGACCGGACAAGATCGGACAAGATCGGACAAGAAGTTAAACCGGGCTGGACAGGATCGAATTTTTGCCAGTTCATTATTATAAAATTGTTGTTTACAACCAAGAATTTTCTCTACTGAAAACGGCTTTATTTGATATGCTCAAGTCAGAAGAATGTGTTTGCGAAAAACTCGATAGATATCTTGTCTTCGACTTGATTGTCAACGATTGATTGTTCTCTTTATATCTCTATCGCTTTCTTTTTCGTGTATCGCTCAATTTAACCTTGATCAAATAATCTATTCTCTTGTTGTACTTAGGCAGCTGTCTGAATCAAGAAAAATAAATAATACATTTTTGTGTTAGGTTTATTATAAACTTCCTTTTTTCTTCTTTTTTGAAATTAAGATGAAAAACAGACTTGATCTGTATAGCTAATTTATATCTATATCGGGCTCGAAAAGTCGACACACTTTGCTATAAAATATAAAGGGGAGAGTTTCATTCCCAAGTTTTAGTTTCCAGCTCGAATTAGGGGTGGCAATTTGCTGTTAATCTATTATAATTTTAAATTGGATTTACATAAATTAAAATTTGATAAAATTATTTAAATTTATTTAAATCCAGTTTAAATCAATGTAAATTGAATTTAAGTCAAATATAATTCAATTTAAAGTCATCTAATTGAATTTAAATCCATTTACATTAATTCATATAGGATTTCAATCCAATTAAATGAATTTGAATTGAAGTATATTTGGTTTAAATTGAATTTATATTGATTTGAACTGAATTTAAATAAATTTCAATAATTTAAAAAAATTAAAATTTATGTAAATCGAATTTAAATGGAAAATAAAAAAAACTTTTTCAAGTTTATTTTAAATTTAAACTTCTTAAAGTTTATTTTTAAATTTATAAATTTTTCGTAAATGTAGATTGATCACCCCTAGTTCGAATTTCTGCATATGAATATTCCATTCCACTTCGCCAACATTTTATGTGAACAGATACTTTTATGGTCGGTTATTTTCGCCGGACATTTGCCAGTTTGGCTGTAAAATTCATCCGGTCGGTTGCTGGCCGGATCGGAGCGGACCGAACTGCAAAAAACTGTCCGGTTCCATCTCTGCAACCTAGTCCTAAGTATACTCTACAATTTAAAAACCACTCCGACATATTAGCTCGTATTCTCATTTTGAAAACCTTGCCCACGTACTGGGTATTTTCGACCAATGAATTGACTATAACTCATGAGTAGCTTGGAGATTTGTGTAGATATTTTACCCACAACTTATACTAGCTAAGACTAACATTTTCTGAAATTTTGGTTGAAATCAGATGAAAAATAAAAGTTTATTTTTGAGGAGGTCTCCTTAAGCTATTACGAACTACAAGTGTATAAACAATAAGATCATATTGCTTGTGTGCATTTGTATCAGTGAATATTATAGTATACTGCATTTAAGAACACACGTGATATGATTTCACCAAAGTCTATTATCTTTATGTCAATAAGGATGTCAAGCTCGGTATAAAAAAGCATGAAAAGGAGAGAATATTGAATTAACTACTTGGCTGTGAGCACGATAAGAATCGAAAAAGTTTCAATGTCTGACATAACAGATGCAGCACGTGCTATTCTTGCATTTAACGATCGTGGTGGTTATACAGTACCCACTGATGCTCTTTATCCATTTCAGTGGAATTGGGATTCAGCTTTTGTTTCAATGGGATTTGCCACGTTCAATATAGATCGAGCCTATCAAGAACTCGAACGACTTATTGAAGGACAATGGGATGATGGCATGTTACCTCATATCGTTTTTCATGTGCCAAGTGATACCTACTTTCCAGGTCCTGATGTATGGAACACCCATCATCGTCATCATAAAAAACCAACAACATCTGGCATTACTCAACCACCTGTCTTTGGTATGGCATTACGATATATTTATGAGATAGCACTTACAGAAGGTCGAGAAGATGTACTTGCACGAACACGCTTGCTCTTCCATGCAGCATTGCGTTCTCATCGTTGGTGGATGAAAGTACGAGATCCTGAGAAACGTGGTCTTGTTGCCATTCTTCATCCATGGGAGAGCGGTAGCGATAATTCTCCTGCATGGGATGAAGCACTTGCTCGAGTATCTACAATAACAAAGACTGAAATTTGTCGTCAAGATACGAAACATGTCAGTGCAGCCATGAGACCACATCACGCTGATTATCAACGATTTATTCATCTAGTTGAAGTATATCGTGAATGTAAATGGGATCCAGTAAAACAATGGTCAGCAGCACCATTCAAAGTTGCTGATGTACAAATGACTGCTATTCTTGCACGAGCGACTGCTGATTTGATTTGGATTGCATCACATCTTAATTTGCTTGACGAAATTAATGAGTTATCAACAATACATCGTATTCTGCTGGATGGATTGAGAGGTCGCTGGCGAAACAATCTTCGAGGTTTTGTTTCGTTGGATCTCATCTCAGGTAAAGATATTCAAAAGCCAACACAAGCTTACTTTATTCCGCTCATTGCTATTGAACTCGATACTTATCAGCATGAAGCAGTGCAAGATGAAATCGAGCGCTGGTGTAACGGTATGATTGTTGGAGTGCCATCAACAGCTCCGTTTTCCTCAGATTTTGAATCAAAACGATATTGGCGTGGTCCAGTCTGGGCTGTCATTAATTGGTTAATAGTCGATGGCTTATGTAAAAATCATTTGGCTGAACTAGCTGCGATTATTGAAGGCAACACCATCAATGCTATTGAACGTGCGGGCTTTCGTGAATATTTTGATCCAATTACTGGTGAAGGACTTGGTGGGAATAGTTTTTCGTGGACAGCTGCTGCTTATCTTGTTTTAAGACATCGTTTAAATAATCAGTAAGAAACACCTACATGTGAAATTGTGACATTTAGTTATTTGTAATTTGTTATATGTCAATATGAACCATGGTTTGTAATAATGAGAAATCTTTTCTTTGTCAAATGTACCAATGTATGATATGAAAGCGTAGATTTTTAGAGAAACGAATTCTTTTTAAACTATGTGAATACAAATATTGAAAATGAGAGGAAGTCTATTATAAGGATATGTTTTAAAATAAGATCAATTTTATCTGTTACGCTGAGAATTCAATTTTGTATTCTAATGTGTGGTTTTAGTTTATCTAAATGAAATGTATGGCATGGATGTGAATGTGGGTGTGGAGCAAAAATCACAACTTGAGGAGCCATTTTATTTACGCGTAAACAAACTAACGATCTGACTTTACAACTGAATAACTGAGTATCTGACTGAGTCTCAAGTGACAACGAACGAAATATATATATATATATAGTGTTGAAAATAGAACATTTCAGAACATGATTTCAGAAAACTATTACATAAGAGACAGAAATAAAAAAATTTAGAAAATTCTATAATGTACCTGAATACTGGACTATAGATAATCACGTATTTCTAGCCTCGTGATCACTAGCTGTTACATCACAATAAGAAAATTAAATCTTGACATACTGGATACTAATCTGAATGAAATTCGAAAAGATATTTTTGTATGAATATCTAATTAATTTTGTAATCATCTTTGATGGCATATCTGGATTAGTTTCATTGAGATTAACATATTAGAAAGCCTATCCATAATAGGCTTAGAAATGTCACCTATATATAAACTACTTCATAGTAAAGAAGAATATCATTAAAATGATTGAAAAATCATCAGTTTTTGAATACCTAAATAATATTATTTTATTGTTGAACTATTAAGCTAACGGGTGGTGCAAAAGTTCTGCATTAATTTTCTTTTTGGTATAGCGTGGCAACGAATCATTATAGAGTTCTGATTTTTTTTCTCGTTGGGAAGAGCTAAGTGTCTAATACAAAATTATGTAAAAAATATTTGATCTAAAATGTTTACTAAAAACTAAAAAGCCTTAAGAACACGTTGAACTGGATAAGTGCCTTTCAACTTCTGGAATTCAGAAGAAGAAATTTCATCTACAAAGAAAATTGATATTTTTTTTCCGGTTTTTATCAGGTTTCGTAGCGCTACGATCGGACATTGTAAACGAGCAAAAGTAAGATTTTCAAGTGACCGGTTAAGTTCGAAATCAACATTTTTCTAACATCTTTTGTTAGTGCAAATTTTTCACAACTAATGAATGACTTCGAAAAATAAGATTTCTTCCAACATCGAAGTTATCAGAAACCGCCTATTTTATATGCAATTAAAGCTTATTGAGTTCTCTACAAAAGCACATTATATAAAACAGAATTCCGTTTCTCTATTCGACATTGTGAGAAAACCTTCATTGGATGTTGTAGACGGAAAATCAACTTTTTAATAAAACTGTGTCCTTTGAAATCTGTGGTTTTGTAACTCGAATGTTTTTGCATGATTAGAAAGCCCACATTGCATTGGTTAGACTCACATATAATGTGTCTCCAAACATCTGAAGCCGAGTGCAAAAAAAAATTAAACACATGCACTTCTCATCTCTAATTTTGAGTTAAGTTGAAGGGCACTTTTTCGGTTCCATTTAATCTTAAGACTTTTTAGTCTTTGGTAAACATTTTGAATCAAATATTTTTACACATTTTTGTAGTAGACACCTTGCTCTTTCTAACAAGACAATGATTAAGTCTCTATGAAGATTCGTTGCCATGCTATATTGAAAAGAAAATTAATGCAAAACTTTTGCACCACCCATTATTAATAAAAAAAAGAGCTAAGATGATTTGATTCTGAAACAGATTCTTATCCAATGAATTTCTTTTTTTTCGTTCCCACTTACAATAGATCTTGAAATAAAACATTTTTTTCTAACAGCTTTGTTATCAGTTAAATTGTATCTTATATTTGCAGGAAGAGTAGTAGATTCTCTTCTATATGATTACATATACAAAATATATTTATTCGATTATTGAAAAAGAAAACAATAATATCACAAGAAAAATTGATTATGGGACTCTTGTAGTAAATATTTAGATTATGGTGCGATTTTTCAATCGCGTAATATGCTACAAATGCTTGCGTCACTTGCTTGCCACAAAAAAACATATAGTTTCACAATCAGATTCTACGTCACTGTCATTTGTGTGAGAACAATGTAGAGAATACTCTATGTTAAATTAACATTGATTTTACGAAGAAAACACATAGATTGGAGGAATGAAAATCTGTATCCCTTATTATATTAAGTTAGAGTAACACATTTTTCGAAAATATGCACTACAAAACATGGCTTAGATTGATTTGAACCTTCTAGCAGTGAGAAGAAAAGTCAGTAGCACTGCGATTTCTATTTTTGAGAGAGTAGGTGTATTTTTTTGGTCCTATGACATTTTTTAACCCTTCAGCGACGGAAACGTATATATATATTTTTTTTTTTTTAAAGCTTTGCTAAGATTTTAATTACAAAAAATATTTTTCTTGATCAGCTCATACGAGTCCTCTCGCTGTCTCTCGTATTGATGATATCATAGAACCATCGTACAGTGTCACCATGCATATAAATATATTCTTTCTCTTACGTTCAGTTGACATGCATCTGTCATAATATATTGCTTATATATATGTATGTTCATAAGTTTCTCCTGCTTTGTTTATTCTGTGCTTCTCTGTTTCTGAGTTATATTCTATGTTTCTCGACATATTTTGGTAAGTTCTCTTCGTACGTTAACAAGATATACTTATGTGAGTGGATTGCCTGGCCGTTGTACCATTTGGATAAATAAAATAGAAGAAAATGAAAGTGTCTACATTTAGGATTTGACTTCATCATTAGAAAGAGCTCGCTCAGATGCCCTAACACATCAACTTTTCCCTACTGTCGAGATAGAGACTTGTTACGTCATTCTCATAGCATATTTGTTAGAAATTCAAGATGTTTATTTTCGCCCAGAATTTGATTTCAGCAAAACTAAAATAACTTGTCGTCTATCAACGACTAGCACTCGTCGAATACTGTGTCTTGGCATCTGGTACGATGTCTTGTCTTCCAAAAATAACATTTTCTGCTTAAAAATTCAGAAAAAATCGTACATCCAGCTACAAACCGAGGTTACTAGAAGACTTTGCCGTGTCTGTTTCGAACTCTCGATAGTAGTGCAATGTATTCTTGATGGGAAGAATTTGGTCGGAGTATTCTTGTTGTTTAGGTATTTTAAAGAACTCTTCATCATCATTAGATGGAGGAAAGTCACTTACCAGGTGGTGTTATGAAAAAGAACATTTTAGTGTGAACAGATGCTCTCAGCGAATTTTCATGACTGAAATTAAGACTCTACGAAAAACGAAACAAGTATTCTTGAAGGGCAAAATAAGTTCTATAAGCTTATTACAAAAGAAATTGTACAAACTGTCTTTATTAAGAGGCAAACATGCGCTTTTTCTTGTGTAGGTGCCTTCAGTTTTCGGACTTTGTCTCCTTGTAAATATTATATCTTCGGAAAGAGAACTGGTAGATAGCTGATTTTTTTGGGGGGAGAGTAAGGACAAGTTAGATAAGAATTTTCGTAATTTTCTTTTCTGGGAATCTGAACATATCTCATTCAACATAGTAAAAAGCTTTTAATGTAACCTCTGTGAGTTTGACATATGAATCACGACGGAACCACTTTACCCATTATGGAGAGACATCGTTATTATGTCTATCGAGTTAGTTAGCAGACTAAGATCAGGACGTCAAAAAAATTCCTTTTAATATCATAGACTGTGAAAGAAGTGTCGAGATGTCTGACAGGGTCTGATGTGCAGGGTGAAGGGGGGTTTACTTTTGTCACTCTAAACTTCAACACTCATTTTCAATCTTGTTTCACAAAAAGACAGAAAAATCTTTGAAGCGAATAGATGAGATAGCAACACTCGAAAATATCATGTTCAATATTTGATGTTTAGAAAAATAAAAATAAAAATAAAAATAAGCCAATTTCTTTTTTTCTTATTGAACTATCTATTTTTACATCTAGATAGTCTGTATGCGACGTAACAGTTTTTAGTTTTATCTACATTCCTAAAGCATGCACCGCATGTACGAGTCATCTTTTTGTACATAATATTAATCTTCTTCTTTTTTCTTTCTATATAGCTTACACTTGACTAGTAGATTGAGATGAAGACCTAAAAATGTCGACATCAATATTATCAAGTATTCAAAATCAACTTAATTTTTATGGATATTTAATTCCTATGGTTTTAGGAAATGTTGGTAATACATTTGTCGTTATAATTTTTACTCGACATCGTACGAATGCATGTTCAATTTATTTAATTAGTTCAGCTATAGTAAATAATATTTACTTAACATTTACTGGTTGTGCTCAAATATTTCCATTTTATTATGGTGATCAAACAATACGTGCATTTGTTTTATGTAAAATACGGGCATATTTACCAAGTATTCTTGGACTACTCACTAAAACACTGATTGC